TTAAGTCTATGAATATCATTATTTCATTTAATGAATGATATGATAATGATCATTTATTTGCACATAATATACAAACTTGTGAAAATCACATGTACAGGTGCTTTGTCTTGATTTCTTAAAAATTGTTATTGCGAGTTCTTAATAATTCTAAAACGTAAAGTACTTCCTAAGATGTTGAACACAGTTTAAAATTTAGTGCTACAATAAAATTTAGTAAATCTAACAAAATGGGAACAAAAAAAAACAACAGAGAATAACTATATGAACAATAATTTACGATTCTGACACAAAAAAATTATTCCCGTAAAGTAGTTAAAGATGATAAAACATATGAAAGTAGATAATATAAAATAATAAAACTCGTGCTAAATGACTAGAACCACTAGATTATATTTCAGCATCAAACAAGAAATCTTGAACTTTGTAGTTAGGCCTTTCCAATAAATAATCTTTTAACATTCTCTGAAAAATATTTCTGAGACGCTTATTTCACGTTGTTTGGTAATTTGTTAAAATGTATCATTCCCATGTAATAAATACCTTTTTCTAGAGCATTGCTAGGGTGGTGTTGATAAACCAGTAAATTTTTATTTCTTTTGTTGTAATTGTGTTGGGGTTTCTCAGTTGAGTACCATTAAGGATTTTCACATTTCTAAATAGGTTTTTGGCTGTGTTAAAGTCATAACTCTCAAGATTTTTATTTTGTGTTGTAAGTACTTTTTTAGGAAATTCAGTACCACCCTATAATCTTTTACTATTAATACAACAACTTCTGTATCCAATAGTCAATGCTATAATACTATGCCATATTTTATTAATGAATAAAAATAATGAATTCTGTGTGAATTAAACATAATCTTTTAAAGGTAAAAGGTTACTGTATTTCACGTTTTGCCTTGCAAACAAGTTCTATACCCTATAGAAATGCCTAATTTGTGCTTAGGTCCCCTCATATGATTATTAGTGTGTAATTCAGCCTATCTAATGAGCTTCAAAATCTCTCTTCAGGGAAGAGGAAGGTTTGCTTTGATTATTGAACAGGATTAATAGGCTCATTAAAAAGTGTTGGGAGAGTGAGTGCAGCAGCCCGCTGCGGTCCGATGGCTAGTTACTGTGGAAACTAGAAAGCAATGAGTGTGACAAGGGATAAACTTGTTTTCAAAACCTTTGAGATGTAACAACAGGTTGTTTACAATCTGTTTATTTGAATGTGGAAGTAAGGAGACATGATATACATTTCAGTACACTATAACAAAGTACATTTGTCATCATCTGGCCACTCAATCCCAAGCTGATTTTTGGCCTCGCCAACAAGTTGTCTCAAGACTCCTATGTCGTCTGCCATGCACAATTCTCCAATTCTTCTTACATCTCTAGCCACTTGGTTGCTCCATCTTAATCCTAGTGTGGGTGTCTTCTGGTCGACCTCTCCACACCCTTCATATTGATGCATCTTCCATCTTCTCACATGACCAAGCCACCTAATTCTTCTACTTCTTATCACCACCTATCTGGTCTTCTGTACAGGTTCCTGAGTTCTTTATTGTTCAGAGTCAACCCCACAGACAAACCCCATCTTGAACTGTTGGTCCATATATTCTTTTCAATATTTGATTTTCAAACTTAATTAACTTCTCCTGAATATGTTTTGTAGTGTTCATATCTCTGAACCATAACTATAACCAATAAGCAAGTCTAATCTGTTTCTTTTTATGTGTAAATTTAGTCGTATTTACCAAGTACAGTAAACTCCCTCTTATCCGGACCTTTTAACCGAACTACACTTGGCGGAAATGACATCTCTTTAACTGGACTAGATCGGCAGGAAGTGGGCAGTACTGAAACAACCGTTCTCGTGGAAAAGATTTGAGACCAGTGATCACGTGTCTAAATACAATGCTCTTCTAAATTTAAATCAAATACGCATTTAAACAGTCCGTTTTAACTAGTTTTTGGGGACGTTGGCTTAACCGGAAAACCCGTTATCCGGACTAGCCTCTAAGAGGGAGTCTACTGTTTGAGAATACTATGCAAACCGTCTGATTCAGTTTCATACTAAGATATTTCACTTTATTTGCTTATGGAATTGTAATGATATTTCCTGTAACTGGAGGGGGGGGGGTCACAAAATGGAGAATAACCATAGTAAGTCCCTGTACTCCCTCAGACAAATTGGGAAAAATACAATTGTATTAAGGGTAAAGATAGATTCCCAAATAGAATTAATATTTTATAAATACATGGTAGATATGTACTATTTATCTCTAGAGGATTTCATTAATGTACCTAATCAGAATACACTCTCAATTACACTTTATAAATCTTATACACCTTCAGCATAAATTTTTACCTCATATGCCGAAGAGATTTCATGTGGACAAATACAGTAATGCAAGAAGCCATATAAGACTCAGAGATTCAAGTGTTATGGTCCATTAGGTTGAAGGTTGAAGGCCAGGAAGCTCCTCCCAAGACAAAAGTACCTCCCATTTTTATTGCTGCATTTCCACTGAAAATTGTGCATGCTGTGTGGAATAAATTACCTAAAGGAATCAAACTTAAACTATTTACTAGTTAATGTCAAATTATTTACTACAAGACAACAAGTAACCACAATCGATACATGGTTTCGATACATGCTTTCGATACATGCGATCGTCAACAACGAAAATTTACAACTGAGTTGAGAACAGCTGATTTTTTACTCCTTAGGATCGAAACAATGATTTTTACTCCCTAGAGAGAAAAAAATCCACTCATGGATCAAACCAGCTGTTTTTGCTGCAGTATGACAAAAAATCCATTTTCATAAACTGTTTTGTCTTTTGTTTACAATCTGACTGTGGTTAAACATCCAACTGGAATATCAGCTGTTCACATTTTAAACCGTTATAAAGAAAGTTGGTTAGCTTCAGTGAATCTCTGCTAGTAAACTCTAAAAAAAACAAATGCTATGGGGCTGAAGCTCTAAACGAAATTATCTCTACCATTTGCCACTCCACTAGATCATAAGCTTTAAAATGGCACCTCAAATGATAAGAGCTGACTCGCTTTGTTCATTTTGAACAATCTAATCCTAAATATGATATGTTGGTCCTAGTCCTGCATATTTACTATGACTTTATTAATCAAATCAAATCAAATCACTTTTATTCCACAATATACTACAAAATTTACAATTTTTCAAAAAATAAAATACAAATATATATAGTCTTTAAACATTATACAGTTCATTGTTTACGTAAAATTAAAGTAAAATTAAAGTAAAATTAAATTTACAAAGTTATTAATAGTATAAACTTAAATATTAGTTGAAATATGTTTTCTCCGGCTAGAATAATAACTAATGTAATAATGGAAAGGAGTCTACACAGAACTCAGTGGTCTGTGCGTAGACTCGAGTTGTTAAAAATTATATTTTTTGAGCTAATTTGCAATTAAAGAAAAAGTATTAGTTTATTCTATTGTCATAGGTTATGCTTGCTTAGGTTTATGTTTAGGTGAGATTTCATTGCATTTTAGTTTATTTTCAGCTGTTTCTACAACCTCAGGTTTTTCATACTTTAATCCTCACATTTATTTTGTTTATTAGCTGTTGTAACTGTGCAATTTGAATACGAAATTGGTAGTTAGATCCGTTGATGTATCTTGTATATTTGTTTATATTTCGTGTGTTTCCTCAGTGGGTTCAGGACTCTACCAGGTTCAGTTGTAGGTAGTCTTGTTGCACATCAGCTGTTGCTAATCAATTATCTCGTGTTTTCCCTCTGTTAACGAGCTCATTTAGTCACGCCGCGGATCAGCTGATCAGCTGTTGCTTCACGAACTTTCATTGTTGAACCATTAATGAGTTTGGTTGGTAGTTTATAGGGCAAACATAAACTCTGTAGCAATGTGAACAAGAGATGCGGCAGTTGTAATTGAGTGTGTTTATGTGTGTTGTTCATATAATTATCATGAGGACCACTGTTGACGTAAAAATGACTGAGAGAAGGAAGTAAAGGTATTAAGTTAAGCATTTTTAAGAGATTTGTGGTTTTACTAGATCAGCAATACATTTTAGTGTCCTCAAGCAATTTTGTCGTGACACTTATCCTACTAATAATATTATAAATGAGAAAGTTTGGATGTATGGATGTATGGATGTATGGATGTATGTTTGTGACAAGTGAACGCGAAAAATACTGGTCGGATTGGGCTGAAATTTGGCATGATGATAGCTCACATTCCCGATTAACATATAGGAATATTCTTATTTCAAAAATCCTTTCGGGCTCCGCCCCAGTGGCTCTGGAGTTTCCCATGTTAACCTTATGAGAAATGGAATTATTGAATCTTAACAGCTGTTTCAATTAAACAAGTTGGTTCTGTTCTATGATGTTCAATAGCATTAAAGTTACAAGGATTACCAACAGGGTGCAGCACTATTATTTCTTTTACATTTATGACACCAGCTAATTTGCAACCAAAAGGTGAGTGAGCGTAGCGAACGAACTTCAACCTGGAGGCGAACGAGCTAACCTGAAGGCAAGTGAGCGCAGCGAACGAGCTCCAACCTAAAGGTGAGTGAGCGTAGCGAACGAGCTCCAACCTAAAGGTGAGTGAGCGTAGCGAACGAACTTCAACCAGGACGTGATTGAGCCATGCGAACGAGATAATCTTGAAAATTAAGAAGTTAAACAGGGCAAAGCCCGCGGGTTACAGCTAGTTATTTATATTTTATTTAATGTGAAAATGATCATTATTATTGTAAAATTACATTGCTAGGTATACGTGGTTTGTCATTAAATGTAATAACGCAATAACCGGGTGCTTCGTACCAATTAGGTTTATGTACTGGTGGTGTTTATGTTTAATTAATGTAATTTGTCTTCCTCGTCTGTCAACGGGTAACTGGGTGCACGCACTAATAAGCAATGCATGTCTAACGGGTGGCTAACCGCACGTGGGGTAGCGGTCAGTGGTCAGAGTACGTAGCTCACTGTGTCGTGTGGTTGAAGGTGTGACACCGCCCCGGAGTCGTCGCACACTCGTCCCCGACAAACAGTCGGACAGAGAGGAGGAGTTGAGGGACAGAGACGACTACAAGCTGGTGTTCATCAGCTCCAGCGACTCCAGCAGCCGCGAGGAGTTGCAAAGTGACGCTGACGACAGATCGTCTACCAGCTCCGGTCTAGTGACGGGCAGCGCTAGCGAGTGTGACTGGGACTACTTCGAGCCCAGCGGGAGTGGAGGGGAGCAGCCAGCGCCGCCGCCGCCGTCCAGCGTCGTGCCTCATCAGTCGCAGTGCGAGCGTCAGACCGTGTGCGTCAGTGTGCCAGTGCCGATACCGGTCCCCATCCCCGTGCCGATCCCCGTGTTGGTCCCAGTGCCGTGGACTCCGCCTCCGGACCTGACCATCCGCATACAACACCTGTGGTCCATGCAACAGCTGGTCACGGTCACCCTAGGCGACCAGATGAGCCACGACCTGCGCGTGGCCGCACTCAAGCACTTCCAGGATCTCGTCAACGGTGCCTTGGTCGGTGTGGGAAACTCGGACGATAAAAGTGTTCCGTCCGATACAGTGTGCGAACCGCCGGTGCCGGTGCAGCGTGATGTGTTGACAGAGTGTAAAGCCGACAAGCAGGACGAAACTGATTTCGTAAGTCTAGTTAACGATAACGATACAGGAGTGATAGCAAATAATGTCACAGAAAAAGAAACTCCTCGCAACAATTTAGGACTTCACATCAGTGAGGATATAGACACTGACGGCGTAGTGTTAAAGAATTATAAAAAGTTGGATAATCATTTTCAAGAAAGTTTTGTGGAACCGAATAATCAAATAGAATGTTTGCCGAATGTGATAGAAGACTCGAGAGACGACGAGTCCGTGTGTTCGTCCACATCGTCTGAAGGCGAAAAGCCGACCAAGCGGTGCTACAAGCTCAACGGCGAGGAGAGCGAGGACGAGGGAGACAGCAGTGAAGATGACTCTTCCGGGGAATTCAGCGGAGGATCTTCACTGTCGTCGTCCCCGGGCTCGAGCAGGTTCAAACGAGTGTACGTGGTGAACGACTCGGACTCGGATCTAGGAGAACTGCCAGAATCTCAGGCCAATGACGAAGAGGACGGCGAGGTGACACTCATCAGACACGAACATTTAAACATGGACGAGATCAAACTATCAACGATATTACAAAACCCAGAAAAACAAGAACTTCCTATTTTTAAAATTGAAGACGTAGACAGTGATTCGATAATTCCTCTGGATAGTTTGGAGTGCAATATTGTCCGTCCAGAACTGGAGCTCCCGGAGTCCGAGCACGAGACAGCGTTGTCTCTCCCGGCGACTGAGGACAAGGATCTCGTAAATGACACTTCGATCACGCCCGACTCTGTCGATAACGACTCTTATTATTATTACGGTCCAAAAAGTATAAGTGAAACTGGTGAATTTTTAGCGCAAGAAATAAACTACTGTGATAAAATATCTCGGCGTGCCGGGGAGTTCGTCTTGGCGCAAACAGTGGAGGGGAGTGATGAGGAGTGCGGTAAAGTGTGCGAGACGCGCGGAAGCAACACATCGGACGAATTCTCCGGAACGGAGTCCATGGAGTTAGAACAAGGTCAGATCCGGGCCGGCGGCCCCGTTAGCGCCGCGACGGGAGAAAGCTGCGCGGCGGCGGCGGGACGATACACGAGTCTGGTGATGATCACTCAGGAGCCTGACCACGATCAACAAGATCACGCGGAGGCGGTGAATGTGGTGACGAGTGACACGACCACTCTCGTGACTAGACCTCAGTACAGAGACAGTGACCAGGGAGAAGTACATGTGGTGACGGGCAACGGCACGACCGCCGTGGTCATCCTAGAGGACGGTCTACCAGACGACGACTCGTGGGTGGAAGAGCTGGACCGTGATGAGCCACTCACTACCACCGAAGAGAGCTCGGAGGACGATCAACACTATGTTGACAGAGAAGAGGAGCTGCGGGGATACAACCGACCCGTCATCGACTTTACCCTTCATACCATCGTTGAAGAGAGCTGTGAGGAGAGTGAGGTGGAAATGGAAAGAAACCGTCCTACAGAGTTAGAAAAATACTTCTTCTACGGCGTGGGAGATGGATTCTCGGACAACCGCGAAATAGACACTATGTCAGAAACTAGCTCGTTACACAGTGAAGGTTTAGAAAGTTTGGGTGGATTTGAAGACGGTGACAGTAATGGTAAAGATCCTGCTGAATTGGCATCATCGAGGTTAGAAAAATATTTTCTGTCTGGTCTCCTAGGATGTAGCAGAAGAGATTCTGATGGCAGTGTAGGTAGTGATAGTGAAGGAAAGCCCAGTCCTGAGCAGCGCAGGAAACGACTAGTGCGAGCCCGTGGAACAGGCAGACAACATTCTAGCTCTCAGGATAACTTGCACGAGTCCGAGCCTCAGGACGAAGTACAACTGGAATCCGAAGGTTCGAGCACAGAAACGGATTCTCATGACGATCTCAGCAACTCCTTTGAAAAATCCGACGGTCAATTCGATACTGTCAAACGTACAAAGAAAAAGAAACGGTCGGTTGTGTCAGCTCCTTCTTTAGAATTACTAGAAACACCGGAAGAAGGCCCAGGTTCGGGAAGTAGAGACGAGCTCGATTCCGACGACGGTAACAAAACCCCTCAACCAGAGTTCCTATTGCCGGCCGATCTCGTAAGCAGCCGCAACAAACAACAAAGTAGAGATAGTGGATTCATGGGTAGTTGTGACGATTTGCTTAAAGACAACAAAGATGTTGCAAGTACTAGTGAAGTGCCGAAAACGACAGATTTAGAAGCGGAAAAAGTTCCTGTAACTCAAAGAAGCGAAGAAACTGTGATCCCTCAAGTAAAAATTTCACCCCCAACCGGTTTAATTAGAAAAGATAGTTTTAATAATTGGAGTTCTGACGAAGAAACGAACTTGATGATGTCTAAAATGAGACAATTTTTCAAAACTATGGTGGCCTCTCAGAAGGTGTCAAATCCCAATGTGGGTGCTAAATGCAAACCTCCTCAATTGGTCCATTTCGAGTCCGAACTAACGAGATTGATGAAAACTGTCCCCGGTATAAGAGACGAGCAAGTCAAGGAGATCGTTGAATACTTGAGTAGTGAAGACACTTGGAGTGATTCCTACGATTCTTCCGATTACACGAGCTCTGACCTCGAGGGGGGAAACAAGAAAACAGCTTTACAAGAAGAAATATCAGCTAGTTGTCGACAAATAATAAGCAATTTCGAAGCAGTGGAAGAGCCAGTTTCCAACTCAACAGACGGTGTTAATAAAGATACCGCCATCGTGTACCAACGCCTGGTTGCGTCGTTCAGCAAACTAGACCCTCCGAGCTCCGACTCGTCCGCGTCCCACAACTCGCCACCGCTCATCGCCAAGGTCATGCAACACATCGGTAGCAGACTGGTCGCCTTGATGCACGAAGTGTCCAGCGCGGAAGGTGGTAGTCCAAAAACATCACGATACCACAGACGACTACAACACAAGCTGTCCACGACTTCGACCACCGAAGACGAAGAAGATTCCATAGAAGATTACAGTCCCCTCCCGAGATCCAAGTCCCACGACCCTCTTATCGAAGAGAACCGCCAAGAAGCGAGTGACAACGAAAGGTTCAGTTGGCGGGGAAGTTTTGAATCTGCCTTGATGGCTTCGGACTCTAGACAACGTCTTTCTTCCACTGGGGAAGCGTCTGCGTCCGCCTCAGCGCTGGCGCTCGCTGCGAAACGACGCTCAGCGGGAGATCTACTATTCAAAACCTCTAGTAGGGAACAACTAGACAGAGTGAGGAGTTGTGGCAGCATCGGTGGAAGTGTCGAGGACAAAATTTGGGGACTGAGGCACCAGAAGAGGAGACGCAGTAGTGTCCCGGACTCTGGAGGCTCTAACGACGGTGACGACGATTCTGACGAGGAAGGAGTCGGGAGGTCGACAACTCTGCCTAGAAGTTTACAAAGTTCCTGCACAGCCACCAACTCTCTGCCGAGACTCCCGACCACCCCGACGTCAGCGTCCCCTAGTATCTACAAGGCCCACAGTGTTCACCAAGTGAGCGCCTCCAAGTCCGTGGTCTCGGCGAGGTACCGCCCCCCTGGATACAACTCCAGGTCCAGCGCGGTCGCTCCTCCTAGGAGGGACGGTAGACGACGCGCTGCTCAGACTCCTTCCCCATGTAACGTCTCGTCTCCGCCCAGCGTTGGTGAGTCCTTTAAACACATTAATGTTACAGGAATAAAAGTATAGTTTAGTGATCATCTTTATTTTAATCGTGATTATTTTCGACTTTTCACTATACCGCACATGTTTTTCCTGGACATTTTAGGTGGAGAAAAAACTGCGATATTATGAGTGTTAATACACGTAAAGCTATAATGGAAACAGTTAATTTGGCAACGATTCATTTAACTACTGTACAAAGTAATTGGTTTACTGTAATTTTGTAATTTTAGTTAGTTTTTCTGTTTTAGTACAATGGAATCGGGGTTTAAATGCAGTAGGCACATGAAGGTGCACTTAGAATCGTTTATTTAATGATTTATCCCAGCAGTACTAAATTAAATAGGCCTGCCAACCTTGCATACAGTATAAAATAAATATTAATCTTTAAAGTTGTCCGATTTTTTGAGACGTGTAAATTGAAATGCAGCTTTTATTTGTATGCAAACAATGTTTCATATTCAATTACGCTTATTACTTTCCAGAAGTAAATTTTTGCATTATAATATTTCCTTTTTCGTCAATCCTCTTGATTTGTTTTCGTGCCACGAAAGCTTTTTACATAAGTTTCAAAGTCTAAAAATAAAACCGCTCTGTACACCTTGTGTCACCTGACAGATCTCGCAGCTGTTCAAAGCTTAGATTGAGTAAGCGATGAGTAAACAAAAACAAACTCGCAACAACTCAAGTCTAACTGAAACACTCCCTTTTTGGGAGATTGCAGTTCAATAACAGATTTGATTTTTACGTATTTGATTTTCATAAAGGGGAAAATATAACTAACGAATTAATGCGTCAAGTATGCTTTGTGAAAACATATCCGTGGATATTGTAGTTTACATCGATTATTGACCTGATAATTAGTTTATTTCGAGATAAATATTTGTCTTAACCAGGTACTTTATGTGTTATCGAACCTTCCATCCGATCTCCATGAAACTTAGAGGAATTCTTATATATGTCACGGTATTTTTAATGATTGGTTCCCATTAAATCAGTGATATGATGAGTGCTGTAGTAAAATTGTAATGCGATTGATTATACAAAATACTTAGTTTATTATAATCAATGCTAAAACTAGCTGTAATTGCAGAAGCGTTTAAATGAAATACAGGGTGTTTCTTTTTTTTAACTTGCATCTTTATTTATGTAAAAACCGCAATAGATAGAAATATGCAGTTTGCGGGAATCATCTACTGTATTGACGTAGGGGGCCCATTTTTTTTTATTCAACGTTACATTCACATTCCCCCCTTTCCCCCCTGCCCCCAACTTAATTTGTTTAAAAAGCAAGCTACCCCTTGTAACATATCAAATGAAAGAGCATGAAAAAAGAAAATGTTTGGTGTAAAAAATTGAAAATCGGCTCATGAATTTGTGAGATAATCCCCCCTTTTCCCCTACCCATAACTTTTTTTTAATAGCAAGGTACCCCTTGTTACATATCAAATGAAAAATAAATTTCACCAAACATTTTCTTTTTTCATGCTCTTTCATTTGATATGTCACAACTTGCTATTTAAAAAAATTAAATTCTGGGGAGTGGGGGCGGAATATCTCACAAATTTATGAACCGATTTTAATTTTTTTTTTCATCAAACATTTTCTTTTTTCATGTTCTTTCATTTGATATGTCAAAAGGGGCACCTGGCTATTAAAAAAAAATAAGTTGGGGGGAAAGGGGGAATGTGAATGTAACATTGAATTCAAAAAAATTGGGTACCCTACGTCAATAGATGATTTCCGCAAACTGCATATTTCTATCTATTGCAATCTATCTAATAAAGATGCAAGTTTTTAAAAAAACACCCTGTATATTACTCTAGATTCATGTCCCGTTATGAATCACGGAAAAATTTCAAGTTGGATTAAAGTCAAGTTTTCACAATATGAGAATATTAAAAACCAAATGAATAATCTTATTTCAAGTAGAGTATTTTAATTTTTGTAAATTTACCAACCTGTATCCAAGTATTGTAGTCTTTTCAACATACCGTTGGCAGCATTGTTTGTCGAGATATTACGTCACGTTCTTCACTTACATAATAATAAAGTTACGCAAAACCTACAAACTCATTGTAGTGCCTTACTCGTGTTTCGTGATGCAAACGATGTCATAAACAATATTCATAATGTAGTAATTTATGGGGAGCGTGCTTATCTGGTGGTAGAGTGCGGGACTTTGGTCTCTGAGATCCCGGGTTCGAATCCTGCTCAATCCCCAATATTAAACGATTTGTGCTTTAATCCTTGCTAATAATACCATGGGACCAGCAATAGTTTTTAATCATATATTTTTATTTGGTTAACATAGTTTTAAAATAATTAAAAAGTTAAACAATAAACAAGAAACAAATCAACAATGAAACGCCCTCAACATAAAACGGAATGGAACTAACCTTTAAATTGACTTAAATTGATCCCTATGGAGGATAAATACAAATTGAATCTTTGATCTTTGACCGTACGTCAGAAGAAACAAAACGATTACTTATCACAAGCCTATGTAAAAAATATAATTAACCTGAAACGAGCATTAAACTACAAAACGCCCCATACACACTCCGGCCAGAACTTTGACATTGTCCTTAGTTGATCCATAAGGATCAAAAGATGTAGGGTTGATCACTGATCAGTAGGATATCACCGTACGATGATCGCACCATCGCACCACGGCACCAACCTTGTATAGCACCCACGCCGGCTTTCAAGGGCAGCCGAACCCTCCACACCTCTGCATCTACAGTACCAATCTCCAGGAGTCTTGTAGTCTGATCAATAGTGATATCCAATTTATATTTGATTAAAACCTATTTGATCAGAAGATCGCGGGATATGGGTAAATTTAGTAGCTTTTTGATGAATAGGTAAAGGACGCAGCGTTGAACTTGGGCTTATTTACGTAGTCCTTACTGAAGAACATTCTGATCAACTCGTATCCCTCAGACACCTTTGCCAATATACTAAATTTCAGTCCTATTTATTTAGAGGGCGTTTGGCGGTTTACTTTTTGTTGTCGTTTCAGGTTTAGACTGTTTTAACCACATAAACAATCTATTAATCGAAATATTGTTTACCTTGTGACATGACCAAAGAATAAGTCATGAATGGTAAAATATTCTCGTGATTTATCCTTAATTGGGATATAAAGCTCTTGTCGACATCGGCGCTCCAAAACGTTGCTAAACACATATACAAAACTGAAGATTTTACAATAGGGTGAAAAGTCTATTTGCACTCAGTCAATAGTCAATGTTGATCTTTTGAGCAACATTTGAGGTTCCAATCTTTTAAAAGCATTTCGACATAAAAATTTACCGAAGTAAAAAAATAAGGAAAAACTGCAGAAGGAATAGGTGCCGACGCATACCGCTTGACCGATAAGTTAATTAATTGTTCATCAAGCTGACTGTTATTTTATGTTTAATAAATACAAAAAAATACTTTGACGAGTTATTAGCAAACGTCCAGTAATAAAATCCTCCACAATAAGGTGGATTCTCGTTAGTAAATCGCCAATACGATCAAATGGTTTCTCGTATTGAATTTTGACGGTCAGATGGCTTAACGACCAAGTGTCTTGTCGGGCAAATGGTGGCCCCTGTGAACAAAGCTTTGCAGCACAGTAGCTTCGAGCGATGGCGTGGCGGGAGAATGGCGCAGGAGAAAGTGGTTCGGTATAGTCGCACTTTCATACTCCGGCTGCAGGCTGCAGTCATGCTGGACCCCTGTCTTAGTAAAGACGGTGACACACTATCGATCTTTTCCCCGAACAAGACCCCGAACCGAGCAGGGAGAAGGGAGAAGGGAGGTCGAAGGGAGGATGTTCGATAGTGTGTCACGAGTCCGTACACCGATCAAGACGCCGAACAAGACATCAGGCCGAGCAGGGAGACGAGCGCTCTGGAGGCGGTTTTTTGGCGAAAGATCAAAGAAAAGATCGGTCCGATGTACGGTCCGATGTACGATAGTGTGTCACGGTACATTTTTGCCCCGTACATCGTCGCGAGCGCCGCAGCGAGCGGCCGCCTGCGCTAGCATTGATAGTTCCGCGCTCTCACTCGCACACACTCTCTATCTCTCTCCAAACTTCCTTTTGCCGCGCTCGGTAGAATTCGTCTGGTCTTGGTCATGTTCGGGGAAATGTTCGGAGTAAAATTTTGCTGATATTTATCTCCCTTCTCCCTTCTCCCTGCTCGGTTCGGGGTCTTGATCGGGGAAAAAATCGATAGTGTGTCACCGCCTTAATACTGCAGTATTGCACCATTGACTTTGAATAGTTCAAGTAGACTTATAGCCGTATAATCTGATCCGTGAATTGATGTGTGTCTTTGATAATAGGGGTTTTAACAAAATGTCTTTGTATTATTCGTAGTCAGTAACAAAGCTATCTTCTCATTTGTTCACTCACCTTCGTCTTAAAATACCTACCACGGTGTGTAGGTATCGTATAAAGAGTTTAATCATAGCGTCGTCTAATGCAAGGTTACAGTTAGGTAAAAGTGGCAACGTCGCAGCCTCGGCCTACCGAAAACAGCTGTAGTGGAGCTTCTGCCCAATGTTGATGTTTCCACGTTTGCTATTACTGTTATTACCATGTCAAAAGGCCGGCCGGTGCGACGTTGCCACACACCAACACCACGGCTGTATGATGAGGCTGTGGTCTAATCCTAACAATCATGTTGGTGAAATACAAATAACGTATTAGTAAACAAGAAAATCGTGTACTTACAAATCGTGAAATTTATTTATGCTTCAAATTAAACATACTCCTCTGTACACTTATCATCCTCGATAGAGGTTGGCGTTATGTAACGTAATTGGATAAATAATTGTATTATTGAAGAGTCGCCTCTTACCTGAGTAATAAATTACTCGGAATACCCTATTATTTTTGTAACCGTCTGAACTTTTCGAAAGAGCGAGTGAAATATCTAGGCCGCTGATCGTGTCTATTAACGCATAACGAGACAATGCGGTGGT